AATGTCAAACCAAGGAATAAAAAAAGAACGTGGAAGCAAAAAAAAAAAAAATACAAACTACAATGGTAAAAACAAATTCAGATGCATCAGCAATCTCATTAAATGCACATGAATTAAACTCCACTATTAAAACACAGATTTTTCAGAATGGATCTTAAAATTTTAGCTCTATGCTACCCAGCAGTCACTTCATCTTTCCTACTCTTTCCTGTCTCCTGGTGAGGGGGAGAAATCAGATGTCATGAGGTAATTCATTCCTACTTTAAAAATGAATACAAACCAGGTGAATGACACTAGATAAATGATACCATTTGGACTCTAAGTAGCTTCTTTAAGACCCCAAGCCACATGCCAACCCCCATTGGCCTATACTGGCTACGGCCTCCACTGGTATGCCTAACCACACTGTCTAACATGAAGTAGGAAACTGCTTTTTAAAAGAAAAATTCAAGCCTTAATATACACCAAAAACACCTCAATAATGCCTATGTTAACAGCTGCTTTTACTCACCACAGGGCCCCTGGCTGCACTGGTGCTCTCCTGCTGAGGCATGCCACACAGTACTGCAGGAGTGATGGAACCTTGATGCTCTCTCCTCTTTCAGGTTTGCGTCCCTTAGTATCAGCCTTCTCTAGACTTATAACAAACTTTTCAGGCTTATGGCCATAGTTTAAAATCATTTAAAATTTAACAGAATAGAGATTCCAGAAATGGACCCTCAACTCTATGGTCAACTAATCTTTGACAAATCAGGGAAAAAAAATCAAATGGAAAAAAGACAAGTCTCTTCAATAAGTACTGGGAAAATTGGACAACTACATACATAAGAATGAAAATGGACCGTTCTCTCACACCATACACAAGATAAACTCAAAATGCATGAAAGACCTCAATGTGAGACGGAATCCATCAAAATCCTAGAGGAGGACATAGGCATTAGTCTTTGACATCTGCTACAGCAACTTCTTTCAAGACATGTCTCCAAAGGCAAGAGAAACAAAAGCAAAATGAACTTTTGGGACTTCATCAAGATAAAAAGCTTTTCTACAGCAAAAGAAACAGTCAACCAAACTAAGAGGCAACCCATGGAATGGGAGAAGATATTTGCAAATGACATTACAGATAAAGGGCTAGTATCCAAGACCTATAAAGAACTTATCAAACTCAACACTGAAAAAACAAATAATCCAGTCAAGAAATGGGCAAAAGACACAAACAGACACTTCTCCAAGGAAGACATACAAATGGCTAACAGATACATAAAAAAATGTTCAACATCACTAGCCATCAGGGAACAATTCAAAACCACAATGAGATACCACCTTACACTAGTTAGAAGGGCAAAGATTAACAAGACAGGAAACAACAACTTGTTGGCAAGGACGTGGATAAAGGGGAACCCTCTTACACTGTTGGTGGGAATGTTAACTTGTGCAGTCACTACGGGAAACAGTATGGGGGTTCCTCTAGATGTTAAAAATAGAGCTTCCCTATGACCCTCCAATTGCACTACTGGGTATTTACCCCAAAGATACAGATGTAGTGAAAAGAAGGGGCACCTGTACCCCAATGTTCATAACAATAGCCAAACTGTGGAAGGAGCCAAGATGCCCTTTAACAGATGAATGGATAAAGAGGGTGTGGTACATATATATACAATGGAATATTACTCAGCCATCAGAAAAGATGAATACCCACTATCTGCATTGATAGGGATGGAACTAGAGGGGATTATGCTAAGTGAAATAAGTCAAGCAGAGAAAGACAACCATCATATGGTTTCACTCATATGTAGAACATAAGGAATAGCACAGAGGGCCATAGGGGAAGGAATGGAAAACTGAAGGGGGAGAAATCAGAGAGGGAGATGAACCATGAGAGACTATGGACTCTGGGAAACAAATTTTGGAGTGGGGAGGGGAATAGGGTAGCTGGGTGATGGGTATACGAGTATTAAGGAGGGTATGTGTTGTAATGAGTACTGGGGGTTATATGCAACTAATTAATCACTGAACACTACATCAAAAACTAATGATGCACTATGCAGTAGTTAACTAAACATAAACAACATTTAAAAATCAAATTAATCAATTAATTAAATTAAACACCAGCACTTCCTCCAATTAGTTCTATCCAGAAAGAGGGTGATTTTGAAAGTAAGAGTCCTAATGTCTAAGTCAGCCATGCCATACTTAAAATCAAAGGAAAATTGTTCCCAGTCACCTCTGCCATAAGCAGGAAAAGATTATAATTCTTGGTATAAGGCAAGCTGATTTAGAGAAAGGGAAAACTGAATATCTGGGGACCCCAAACAGGTAACTCATCTGGTAATTATTGTCATTCTAAGGCATTAACTCCTTCACAAAAAAGCACCCACAGTAAAATTATCTAGTCAAGAATTTCTTAAAACCCCTCCTATGGGCTCAAGCCTCCTGTGTTTTAAGCCTAGTTCTGAGCAAGAATCACAAAAAATATGCATCTCTGAACATGCTTCAGAGTAGGAAGTTCACCTATCTCATACTGAATACTCTGGCTCCTCTCAGGAACTTTACAATTGCACCCAATAAGGGTGCCCCTCTCCAGCCCTCCCCACCCCCCAACACACACACACCTATACAATTGTTCTCTGCCTACAATACTGTTGTCAGACTTTCTGTGTTTTTCTTTTTCCCAAACCTTTGGAAATGAACTCTGGTCCAGAGGGCTGAACTCATTGTTTTTGTATAATTGCTCGTTTTAGCTCTTTACTTGATGACTGATTAAATCCTTAAGTCAGTATTATCCTAAGATCATCCCCATATTTTAGTTTGTAATACAGTCAAAACTTTTTTTTTTAAGATGGGATTGGGAGGGAGACAAACCATAAGAGACACTTAATCTCACAAAACAAACTGAGGGTTGCGGGGTTGGGGGGGGACAGAGAGGGTGGCTGGGTTATGGACACTGGGGAGAGTATGTGCTATGTTGAGTGCTGTGAAGTGTGTAAACCTGGCGATTCACAAACCTGTACCCCTGGGGCTAATAATACATTATATATTAATAAAAAATAAAATAAAAACTTTTTTAAAGATTTTTTTTTTAATTTATTTATCTATTTATTCGAAAGCAAGTGAGAGAGAGAGACTGAGTGAACATGGGGAGGAGGAGGGGCAGAGGGAGAAGCAGACTCCCTGCTGAGCAGGAACCCGGATATGGGATGTGAGGTTTGATCCCACAACTCTTGAGATCATGACCTGAGCCGAAGGCAGACATTTAACCGACTGAGTCACCCAGGTGCCCCAAAACTTTTTTTTGAAGCTTAACTAATTGTAATTATTCAAAACAACAATTTTTTTTTTTTTTGCTTATTTAAATTCTTACTTTAAAATATAGACTCACAACAAGTGGACATTAAGAACTGTGAGAATTATGGCACATTAAGAATGAAAGCTCAAAATCGAAATAAGTCAATCAGAGAAAACAATTATCATATGATCTCTCTGATAGGAAGAATTTGAGAGGCAGGATTGGGGGTTGTGAGGGGTATGGAGGGAAAATGAAACAAGATGGGATCAGGAGGGAGACAAACCATAAGAGACTCTTAATCTCACAAAACAAACTGAGGGCTGCTGTGGTGGGGGGGTAGGGATAGGGTGGCTGGGTTATGGACACTAGGGAGGGTATGTACTATGATGAGTGCTGTGAAATGTGTAAGTCTGACGATTCAAAGACCTGTACCCCTGGGGCAAATAATACATTATATATTAATTTTAAAAATTTAAAAAAAAAGAATGAGAGCTCATTTTTGTTTTAATCAAAAATGTATTTATCTGTATTATATTGAATCGAATGATTGAAAACAATGAGCATGTACACATCTAGTATATGAATGCAAATGCATACCTGAATATAATAAAACAGTAACTTAAAAATCCTAATATGAACGACAGATGTATCACTAAAAAGCAAGCAGAGTAGAGATTCATTTAGCTAAATATGAAGAGTTTAATAAAAGCTATTTAATATTTAATTTAGAATCTCATAGGCATAAGTGAACTTCCTGAATAACTATGCTATTTACTGAAATCATAGAAAGTAAGGGTGGAAATCTTCAGCCATGATTTTCAAGGATATCTCTTCGTGAACTACAAATAGGTAAATTCCCTTCTGAGAAAACAGAAATTATGTAAATACATGAGATTCAGTGGAGCCACACTCTCCCAATGCATAAATTACTATCTTGAGAGTCAGACAGGCATCAGACAAGAGTTAACTATTTTAAAATATCAGTGCTCATGATGCAGCCGCCGCTGCTATCTAATTTTGTCAGTTTAGGGTTGAGGAGAGATATTAAACAAAATGGTATCCAACACGCTCTGTTATAGGTCCAGAAGTTAAGTCAAAGAGGGGAGGTAACTTGCCCAAAGAGAAACAGTAACTGAAATGTAAATAAAACTCAAATATCCAGCCCCTAACTCAGAGCTCATTCCATAAATTCACCTTGTCTTTGAAGTGACCGGTTATGACAGGAATCTGTTGTATTAGTGCTGAACAGATTTATTAAATACAAAACAGAAACACAACCTATTCTGAGAAATTTTTCTCCCCAAGAAGACAAAGAAGACTCCCAGACAAACTGAAGAATTTAACTTCTTAAACCATGCTCTATGCTTAAAGGAGAAGTAACAGGAGAAAAGAAAAACGTCTTACCCCTTGAATTAAACAGAAAGGTAAAATTCAAAAGATTGACATACCCTCTAGAAGTAGAAGCCAGATGAAAAGAATTTATATTGTATAGCAAGTAACTAACTCTTTCTCAGGAGGGATGATCCTTCACATCGTAAATTGTAAAAATCTTAATAAACTCCTGACATGTTGGGTCAGAAAATCAAGAATGACTTCAGCTTCTACTTTTCTTCCCTAAAATAATCGTTACTTCACTAGCTCTCAATGCCAGGTTATGTGTGCACACAAGCACACGCACACACACACATACATGCATGCTTTACAAAGTACTTACTGAGCTGTAAAGATAGCCTTCACCATTCATGGCCACATAGAGGCTGGCCTTCACCCCTTGGATAGCCACCACACGCAGGCCCACAGGAATTAGATTGAAGAGGGCTGGAGAGGAAAAAAGAAGACAGAGGAAAAATCAGTGACCTTTTGAATAAATCATCCTGCTTCTTAAGATGACTCTTTTGAGAATTAAAAACAATGCATTAAAATTAGTAGGGAGAGAGAGGGAGACTGAGATGAAAACTGGCTTCTTGTCTCTGCATCACCTTTAATCACCCATGTGACCCCAGGTAAATCACATAAACTCATCTGCAGCAAACGGGTTACATTCCATTATAAGGTCTCAATGGGCCCTACAGTTTTATTTCTCAAAACTAGCACATACCCAAACAGTGTAATATGTTTTTCAAACAAGTGAATAATTTGAACCAAAACATTTTCAACAGTAGAAAATGTAACTGCAGACATAAGTAATTAGAAAATATGATCTTTATAACTTATCCCACAGTGTCTTGCTTTCAGATTTTTCTCCGTAGTCCTAAGCATTGTCTTGAATACAGAAGATATAAAAATCACTGGTTCATTCTTAGCTACATTGGTGGAATGAGAGCTTTCCTTTTTATAGTTCAATTCCTTTACATGTAAAAGTAGATACATAAAAAGATGGATCAGTAATTGATAGCTTAAGCTCTAATGAACATATGTTATACCTCAGAATATGTATACATACAAACACATATACACACATATGTATACAGACGTGCATAAAACCACTAAAACCATTAATAATTAACCTGTTAAATTTAACTCAATAAGATGAAATGGAAACCTGCTTGTAGTCTTTAAGTATTTGGGTTGTCCATCACTGAAAATATTCAACAGTCTACATGTCTACTTGGAGAAGGTACTCAAGCACCAGAAAGAGAAACAAGAAGATAATCTATTTTTCTTCCAATGATGTATTTTTTTTATGAATTCTATCTCCCTAGCACTACTCCAGTTGCTACTGTTGCAATTATAAAATGAGCATAAGCATAAAACATTGCCCCTTCCATGAAAGAATTCATATTACATGAGGGAAGAAATTAATCCTTTAGGCTCTACAGAAGACGGCACAGCTACGGACGAAATACCTCACAGCCGCATGCATAAGAGCATATAACTGCATATGGTTTAGTTGGAAGTCTTTATCCCTCTTTTTTGCTGATACAATGTCCATCAGTTCTGGTCATCTTCTTAGTTTTGAGTGTAAAATGTATGAAAATCCACCCAAGTGCTTGTTTATTTTTGGCTTCTCTCAACTTGGGATGGTAAGCTAAACAACACACACAGACACACACACACACACACACACACACACACACACACACACACAGTATTTGGCCTTCAGTCAAATGTTCATCCGATAGCTGTAAAGAATCAAGCCTGTGACCACAGGTTTACTACAGCAGATTTTAATTCCTAGATGTGCTTGACACTGGACCAGTCTCTTTGCCTCTTTGAACCTGTTTCCTCATTTGTCATGAAAGTTGAGAGTAGATCTTAGGAGATGCTCAAGAATTATTGGCTCAATTTGAATCTGAACTGGTTTTGTTGTTCCTATATTCTTACCACTGTCCTTGTGCTACTGAAATAACTTAAGAAGTACAAGACCTTAAAGTCTAGTTGGGGAGAGAAATCTAAGACATATGGAATAATCTGATACAGTGTATAATTTATTTCTATAATTAAATATAATATATGCATTCTATATATATTCTCTGTGTTACAGAAGTTCAGGAAAATGGAAGATCTGTGTGGCCTGAAATATTCAGGAAATGTCTCCCATGGAAGATGGGACCCAGGTTGACACTTAGAGAAAGGGCAGAATTTGGGTAAGTCACACACAGAAACACATTTTGGTGGGACAGGACTTTAGGTGGTTCTGGAGGATAATGGATGTGTACAGAAAGAGACTGGTAATTGCATTTGATTCATACTAGGGAGAAATGAGAATGAACACTATGCAGATAAAGTAGGGATAAATATCTGAATGTCTGTCACTCTAATCTTAGAGATCTAAACTTTGCCAAATGGAAAACAAGATGTGTGACGCATAAAGATTCAAGCAGCAACAGATTACAAAAAAAAAAAAAAAAAAAAAAGTGAGATTTGCAGATGACATAGTTTCTAAACTCACCACTCAGAAGCTACCTGGCTGGGAGTCATTCATTTAACCTCTGCTTTAATTTTCCTATCTGTAAAATGAACATAATAATCCTCACTGCATCGTGTTTACAGAAGAACCAAATGCACTACCATATGCTTGAAAGTGTTTCATAAACAGAAGGGTGTTCTCTGGATATTAGAGCTCTTTGTCATTAATCTATTATTCTTTTGCTTCTCAAATAAGGTTACCATAAGGTCTGATCTAACAAGTGACATTGTCTCACTAATACCTATTACATTTATACTCAGAAGATTGCTTAAGACTTTTAAAGAAATACCGTTTTGTGCAACACTTAATTTTCAAAGTGCTGATCAATTCCTCATTGTATTTGACCCTCAACCACCAACACCACATAACATTTAAGACAGAACGATTATCCTAATTTTTAGAAGGACAAACAGATTCAGAGAGGTAATTCAAATGAAACTGCACCTGAATAAAGGTTTCTGGCTCTCTCATGTGGTTATTTGCCTAAAATATTGTGTGTCCTCCTTCTTCCTTTTTAAGTTTAATTTCCCCTGATACCCATTCTTGTCTTTTCACAAAGTCAGAATACTTAGCTACATTTCTCTACATATCACACAGCTGGCTGTGGTTATGGACTCAGTAATGGCCAATGAGATGTTGTTAGAAAAGTCTCTGTACATTTGAAGAGTCTTTCCTTAAAGATAGCTTCTAGGTTTCCTTTACCCTCTTCTCATCCCTCTGCCTTTTTGCTGTTTGGACTGGCATGAGGGGCGGGGGGATGGAGGCTGGATAGTCTGAGACCATGAAAACAAGGGCTACCCCCAAGGGAGTAGTGGCAAGTGAGCTGGAAGGAGTTGGGTCTCTGAGGATGTTGTGGGGCAATGGCACCAGGCCAGCCTTCAATTACCTAGGTCTGGTTTTTATGTGAGAAAAATAAGGCCTTGTTATTTTAGTCTGTATAATGCAGAGCCAACCTTAATCCCCACTGATAGAGACTGCTAAAGAAAGCAGAGCTAATATGCAAGGTACCGACTAAATGTAAGGTGCTTTTACATGGTAAATAAATGCAACTACTAGAAAGTATCAAGTTCAATGACAATTCTTATGAGAAAGAACAATGAAATCCAAAATTGTGCAAATCGTCTTTCCAACCTAATTTCCCAGGACAAATGCTAAGAACACTGGTCCATTTAGCTGAAACAGTCATAACAAGGCAACTCCAAAGCTGTTCATACCTGAGGAGAGTGTGAAAATTACTAAAGCCAGGCAGGGACAAAGGCAAGAAGCTGTGAAAGTCATACATGAACCAGAAAGTGATAATGGCTTTTAGATGGTATGCTTTAGGAGACTTAGCAAGTCCACTAAAAAAAATAATAATAAAATCAGTAAACATTTTGGAATGAAACTTTTTCATGGTAAAAGTTAAAAACTACTCTCTCTGCATCTGCCTCCTAAAATCATTAAAAGTGGCAAATGATGTACCCTTATCTATTATTTATCCTCATTATAGCACACGGGTTCTAGCTCACAGAAGTCCTTTGCTGTGCACAAGAATTCCTCCCATGTCTCCAGTCTTCCCCTCCACCCTCAAAGCCTCAGGCCTTACTCATAGTAATAAGTGGGCCACTCCGTTATTCAAGCCCCTTACATCTCATCATGCCATTTCCCTGCTTACAACCTCTAGGCACTACACAAAGTCTCCACCCTGACCCTCAGCACCCTTTGCAATCTGGCTTCAAATAGCATTTGGAAGCTGATCATCTGCTACTCACTCCAGTCACCATAAGCAGCTTTATAGAATGTCCCCATTTCCTAACTTCCCCTTGATCTTTAATGAGGCTAAAATTTCTTTTCTTTTGTTCTCTCTTTTTGAAAAAGCTGTCTTCACTATTCAACCACACCATGAGTCTTACCCAAACCCTTATGAGATGGCTTTTCCTTTTCCATCATTGTGTAATTCATCGGTATATCTCTATAATAGCATTTGGGACATGGTATTATAGTCATTTATTTACACATCTATCTCCATCCGTAAAATGAAAACTTCTGAGGGTATCTCTGTAATTTCTACCCCAGTTATATGTACATATCTTACATTTAATAAATGTTATAAATATTACTGATCATAAGAGTCATGAAAAGACACATTACCAGAATCTGTGGTTTTCTTATTGGAATAAAGTACTTTTTTTTTTCTTTTTAAAGATTTTATTTATTTAGTTGACAGATAGAGATCACAAGTAGGCAGAGAGGCAGGCAGACAGAGAGAGGAAGGGAAGCAGGCTCCCTGCTGAGCAGAGAGCCCGATGCGGGGCTCGATCCCAGGACCCCGGCAGAGGGTTTAACCCACTGAGCCACCCAGGTGCCCCTAAAGTACTTTTTTTAAGACAAAAAGAAGTTAAAAACTTAAAACATCTCAGTCTGATAGTAGAAGTTATATATACATATTTCTGCTATATGATACTATTCTTTCTAATATATTTATTTACCACTTCTAGTAATTTAATCACCCTCTTCCTACTTTTAACCCCATATTTTTGCTTACTACATCCTTTCTCTCTGACTGGAATGCTCTTCTCCCCATATCTTCAGACTGAAATCACTGTCATGCTTGAAATGACACACCAAATACCAAGGGCTTTCTCTCACTCCTAAACTGTCCTTGTCCTGAATCTAGACTAGACTATTTTCACAATTTATAATTTTCTTCACTTAAAAAAAAATGTTTCTGTACTAACCACAACTAGATTGTAAGCTCTCCAAGCAAATAATCACATCTAAACTACACTTGTATAAAATGGAGAAAAGGAGAGAGTAGAAGAGGAAGAAAAAAAAAAAAGGACAGAGAGACAGAAACAGAAAGGGAAAGCTTAAGGGAATAAACAGAGTCGGATATATTCTATTTACATTCAGGATCATAGTAAACATT